AAAAAAAAAAAAGACTGTGTGGCCTGCAAGGAAATAAATTGTCCTTAGGGAGTGAAATGCCAGTGCTACAGTCTGTTTTCCCATTTTTGTTTTATTTTTATTTTTTTACGACCTCTTTTCTTTTTTCCCAATGGCTAGGTTGAGATAGGCAAAACTGTCTTAGTGACAGTGAGGGTTCTCGACTCTTCCAAGCGCCCATTCCAGAATGCATACTTCAAGAACATGGAGCTCAAGCTGCAGACTGCGTCAGCCATTGTCACGCTGACGTGAGTACCGTGTCAGTGTTTCTTCTCCCTGTGCTTAGTGTCATGGGACTTTCCCTGCTGGTAGCCAGGTCGGCATCTCCCTAGCTGATTTTGGATTCTGTTCAATTCTCTGTTACAAGACCTCTTCACATCCTGTCTTTCCATCTTCAGCTTGCCACAAAATGCACATTTCGGGACCTGAGCTCTCTTAGTTGGGGTCCCAAATCTGTGTGTGTGTGTGTGTGTGTGTGTGTGTGTGTGTGTGTTTGATTAATAAAAGTTTATTTCTGGAGTTTCTCCTTGGAGGAGACCTTTTGGGAGTGCTGCCAGCTGGAGCACCTTCAAAAGTCTATTGAGGGGGGCCTGGCCCTAGCTCAGGCCTTTAAGTGGCTGCTTCCACAAAGCTGTCAGCCTCAGGTTGCTGGAGTTCAAACCTCACAACTCTACAGCTGGCCAAAAGTGCCCTGAAGGCATTCGAGGAAAAAAAAAAAAAAAAAAAGTCTATTGAGGGGCTGGCCAAATAGCTCAGCAGATTAAAGCAGCTGCAAGCAGGCGCAGGGGCCGGGGGTTCAATCCCTGGGCCTGCTGTGCCTGCCCTGTCCCCGGGGCAGGCTGAGATGGCAATTGAGACTGGCCGTGGTGGCGCACACCCATAATTCCAGCTCTTGGGAGGTTGTAAACAGGTGGATCACTATGAGTCCAATCTAGTAGTGAGACCCTGAACACCCTGTAGACCCTTCCCTGAAATACAAAATAAAATAAAATTTTAAAAAGGTCTATTAAGAAGTAGAGATACTGGTATTGTACTTTGAGAAAGAAAAAATGCAAGAATTCCAATTTTGCCAGTCTGAGTTTCTACTGCCTTCCTTCGTTGGTTGTCATAGGACAAGTTTTTCCCCTTAGAAGCTTCCTGTCATTATCATGAAATTTGTCTTGACTCTTTCCTTCTAACCAGAATTATGAAAAGGTGTCTCAACCACTCTCCTAACCAAGTCTTTCTCCCCTAAAAATGCATTGGCCCTTGTAGACCAATGGAGGATGAGGATGCGTACTCTGAAAACTACATTCTTCGGGCCGTCACTATTGGGCAAACCACACTTGTGGCTACTGCCAGAGACAGGATGGGAAGAAAATTCACATCAGCGCCTCAGCACATTGAGGTAAGGAAATGGCCTCACATTTAGAATTTGCGCTTCAACTTACTTAGCATTGTTCATCTCTTTCTGTCTAGTTTGCACAAGTTTAAAAACTACTTGAGCAAGGTCTGATGGCACAGGCCTATAATCCCAGCTCTCAGGAGGCTGAGGCAGGAAGATCACCAGGCAGTTGAGGCCAGCCTGGACTACACAGTGAGACCCTGTCTCAAAACAAAGCAAAACAAATCATAAAGGTAATTTTAGCCTGGCATGGTGGCCTATAATCCCAGCACTCAGGAGACTAAAACAGGAGGATTGCTGTGAGTTTGAGGCCAGCATGGGCTACAAAATGAATTCCAGGCCAGCCTGAACTGCATAATGAAATCCTGTCCCAAAAAGAGCCCCCCCCCAAGAAAAAGTCATTTTAATGGTCCTTATTTCTCTAGTGAGTTGATACACTAATTATTTTTTAATTTTTCTACCATTGTATATAAAATAAAATTACATATATTTGTGTAACTTCTTGGCACATAATTGGGAGTCTTCCTTAGAAACTAATGCTTCTCATTAATCACTGATGTCCTTTTGGTTTTCTCCTTTAAGGTGTTTCCTCCATTCAGACTTGTTCCAGAGAAAATGACCCTGATTCCAGCTAACATGATGCAGGTGATCATGAGGGTAGAAAGATAATGCACACCTTTTCTCTTATATGCACACACTCATGTGCACACATGCACCCCTCTTCCTCTGGCCTCTTTTTCCTACTCCCAGTCACACCCAACCAGATCTGATAAAGGAGGCTCTGCCCTGACCTGTGATGCACTTAGCAGAAGCTGCCCCTGGAATCCTGGGAATTCTGTGGGTCAGTTGCAGCACTGCATTTCCTCTGCATCTGAGCCCATGTGGGGTGTGGTGCTCAGGAAGGTGGGACCATGAAGAAACAGGTTGCTTGCACAAAATGTCAGGGGGAAAGCTGCAATTTCTCCCCAACATTCCAGGCCCTTGCTGTGTGTTTAAATTCTAGGTGACATGTGAAGGCGGCCCTCAGCCCCAGTCTATCATTCTCTTCTCCATCAGTAACCAGACTGTGGCTGTTGTGAACAGGAGAGGCCAAGTGACAGGGAGAGTGGTTGGCACAGCTGTGGTCCATGGAACCATCCAGACAGTAAATGAAGACACTGGCAAAGTCATTGTATTTTCCCAGGTATATGTTCTTCACTGTGCTCGGCTTCTGCTCTTCCATTTGGAAAGCACACTGGGGATTTATAGAGGAAGAAGAGGGGAAGTATCAGCAGTCCAGGAAAAGCCTTTTAGAAAGAGAGAAGCGTTAGTAGCTAAAAGCTGGATGTGGTAGGCACTCCTATAATCCCAGCCCTCATAAGGCTGAGGCAAGAAGATCACCTAGTTCCAAGTCAGCCTGGATACATAGTGAGGTCAAGGCCAGCCTGAACTTCATGGTGAGACCCTGCTGTAAAAAAACAAACAAACAAACAAACAAACAAACAAACAAAAAACAAAACACTGGATATGATGGTACATACCTGTAATTCCAGCACTTAGAAGGCTGAGGCAGAAGGATCGCTGTGAGTTCAAGGATCACCAAACTACTTCAAAGGCAGCCTGGGCTTCATAGTGAGTTTCAGATCAGCCTGAATTACAAAGTGAGACCTTGTCTAAAAAAAAAAAAAAAAAAAAATCTACTTTGGAAAATCTAGAGTGAGGGACAATAGCTCAGCAGATTAAAGTGCCTGCTTAAGCAGATGCAGGGACCAGGTTTCAATCCCCATGAGATGGCAACTGAGACTGGGCATGGTGGTATACACCTATAATCCCAGCACTTGGGAGGCTGAAAATAGGAGGATCACTATGAGTCTGATCTGTATAGTGAGACCCTGTAGACCCAGTACTAAATACATTTAGAAAAAGAAAGAAAGAAAATCTAGGGGCCAGGGAGATAGCTCAGTAGAATAAGTGCTTGCCTGGCAAGCACAAGGGCCTGAGTTCAATCCCCAGTTCCACAGAAAGAAAGAAAGAAAGAAAGAAAAAAAGAAAGAAAGAAAGAGTCAATCAACCAATCTAGAGTATATGGCAGTGTTATAAGACATCATCCCTATTTTTTTTTTTTTTTTGTCTTTTTGAGATAGGGTCTCACTGTACAGTTTAGGCTGGCCTTGAGCTCACTTTGTCGCCCAGGCTGGTCTCAAACTCACAACGATCCTCCTGCCTCAGCCTCCTGAGTGCTTGGATTACAGGCATGTGCCACCATGCCCAGCCCATCATCCCTATTCTTAAGAAATTCTTTTGAAACAAAACAAAACAAAACAAAATAAGAAAAAGCCAAGCATGGTGGTGCATATCTGTAATCATATAATCATAGCACTTGGTAGGCTGAGGCAGGAGGCCCTTGGTGAGTTTGAGGCCAGATGGGGCTACATAGTGAATTCAAGACCATACTGAATTACAGAGACCCTGCCTCAAAAATAAATAAATAAAACAGAAGTAAAGAAAACACATCCCGAGGGTTTGAAAGATGGCGGACGACGTGGACCAGCAACAAACCACCAACACCGTAGAGGAGCCGCTGGATCTCATCAGACTCAGCCTGGATGAGCGGATCTATGTGAAAATGAGGAACGACCGAGAGCTTCGAGGCAGATTACACGCTTATGATCAGCATTTAAACATGATATTGGGAGATGTGGAAGAAACTGTGACCACTATAGAAATTGATGAAGAGACA